ATTGACTTTGCTTGTCAGAAGGTCACAAAAGGTGATCACATGACCTTGGGACATTGCAACAGTCATAAATACAAGCCAGTTGCCAAGTGTCTGGATTTTGAACATGTGACCATGAGGATGCTGCAACGGTCATAAGTGTGAAAAACAATCATAAATCGCTTTTTTTCAGTGCCATTGTAACTTCAAACAGCCACTAAACAAATGGTTGTAAGTCTACGACTATTTGTACCACCTGTATACTGGAATTTGCAAGGTGAAACATTTGTCTATAAAAGAGGGCAGATCAAAAATAATCATCATACCAGCCACAACCACTACCAAAGCCACCATCTTGATTTTTTTTTTTTTTTAAAAAAAAATCTTTTAACCCATCCTGCAGATGCCCCTATGATTAGACTTTTAAGTCCATTCTGTGTTTGTTGTAAAATGTGTGGACTTCAACTCCCATAATTCTCCAGCTACCATTTTGAGTTGAAGTCCATATATGCTGGCTGGCCAGGGAATTCTGGGAGTTGAAGTCCACAGATGCAAGTGGGGAATTCTAAAATGGCTGAGAAAGAGAAACATTATTCTATGGATTTGTGAAGTAAAAATCAGAAAATGCAGATCTAATGAACTTCTCAGATGAATAGTAAATAAGAACACATGTCACATAGGTGATTTTATTCTCCATAGCAACCAGCATTCCTTCCCTTTCTTCCTTGCTACTGCTTCCTCCAGGCACCTGAGTTTTTGCAATATCCAGTTGGCACCTGGACTCTGTTTTCTCCACATGGTGCTCTTTCATTGGCTGGCTCCTCCATGGATTATTTCATTAGATCATAACAGCAATAGGATTTCTCACTGAGAAATAGACCTGAGGAGATCCTGATGCTGAAGAAGGAGGGAGATAAAATTACCTTCTCTGGGGGAAGATCAGATTTTAAAACATTGTCCTGGCTGAAACTTAGAACCGTGCACTTGCTTCAGCAGTGGCTGAAATTTTGCCAAGTAAGTACACTTTGAAAACTCAATTGATGAAATTAAGTTTTAAAGGTAAAAGTAGGAAATTTGAGATCATTTTCATACACTTAAGGAGAAAGCTTAAATCTAATATTCTTTAGACTGAAAATATAGGATGAGTTTTTTGTTGTCTTAGATATTTTGCCTCTGTGCAAATTTGGTAACCATTCAGGCACAGAATAAATTCATACCTGCACCTATTTATATTTTATTTTTCTTTCCTTCTAATATCAACCTGTAATTGTGAGTACAATTGGAGCCTGTAATTTTTGATAACTTTACTCCCTGGTGTCCTAACTACACAAAAGAATAAAATACAATAAGAGTGGTAGAATTGCTTTGATATTGTTTTCAGGGCAAAGAATTATTCAAAAGTCGGTAAATGTACATGAAATTTAGTAATAAAACTAGTAACAGTTCTGTTGGAAAAGCTAGATAATAAGCTCAAGCGGGAAGGTTCCCCCTCCCCCCCCCCCCCCCGTTTTAGGGGTATTGTGGTTTTCCAAATACTTGACAAGGCAAAAGCTGAGCTTTTTTAAATGAATTAAAATGTTACATGTGGTAGCAGAATTTCTAAAAATAAAAAGAACTGTAGTTTAGATAGAAAGCTTATCAGATTTTTCCATCAGCCCCTGAGCTGAAATATTGTATATGAACTCACTGAGGTTTTTTTCCCCCCACCAGTTTTGGATTGTTTACAACTCTCCTTTCTCTTCTTCCAAATAGTATCTTAATTTCACCAAGTTTTGTAAAAATCACAGTAAGCATAGAACGGAATCTCTTTTTTTTTTGGGTTGAAAAAGACTACAGGCCAAATACTAGGAAAGCATAATAGATCAACATTTTACCACAAATGAGCAGTCACCTTACCTGTTCAGATCATCACCCACTGGGGACAATTCGTGTCTAAATGGTACTTGCATTAGGGAAGCTGGAATGGAAAAGCTACATTAGCTCCACCTGAGGTACAAAGAATTTCTCTAAGGGAAAATAGTTGCCAGGAAGAGTACTTGGGAGTGGCAACAAAGCCAAGGAGTGTGAAACGTGGCTATTTTCTATTCAGCAAGCTAGAGTTTTATGCTGGGCAAATCTGCAAGAAAATTGTAAGAGATCTGCTTGTAAAAGTAGGGAAATTAGATTTTTTTTCAGTAAAAAGTAGGAGATTTCCATTGGGACAGTGCAAACGATAGTACTAAAGTAGGCTTTGAAGTCTGAAGCTATAACTTAGCTACATAATGGAGATGTTTGCAATAATAACGGTGCTCTTGGTTGCTATCTTGGAGACATTTTATTTCCCAACAAGGTAACATCATCAATTCTAAAAAGGAGTGGTGTTTGTTCTCTATTTATATACAAGTGGCTTGCCCCATCATTATTGATGGGAGTGTTCATAGTAATTCCTTGATTAGCTTGATTTGTAAAAAACGGAATACAGATATTTGGGAATTTAACTACTGGGCCTTATTGACTTAAAATTTCAGATAGGGAAAACATATATTCAGTCTTCTTCATCTGGAACACCTCCAATTTTAGATATTTCCTGTTTTGGAAACATGGCCTTAGCCCATGCCTTCTCCCAGATTTCCACATCAATGTAATTCTTATTATTTTATTCAGAACTTGTGTGACTTCTGCACACAGAGCAATCTGTGGTAGCCACGTATGGATTAAGCAACAAGTGACATGGTTGGGCTGCATCACTTTCTAGTGGTCTTGATGAGAACTTCAGCAAAAGTTCAATTCTCTTATGCAGTTGTTGCTGGCAATTGATGTACTCATGTTAATTCATCAGATATGATCATATTGAATCGCTAGATTTAATATAAAGGAACAGGATCAGAAAATATTCCATTATGATACATCATGATATGTGGTATAGCCATCAAAATCAGCAGTCCTTGACTGCACTACATTCAATCAATTCTACCAATATAAAATGCAATGATATTGCCTTACATAGAGGCAAGCAACTTGCAACCCTCAGGGGTCTTCAGACTCGGCCCTTTTATGACTCATGGACTTCAACTCCCAGAATTCCTCAGCCAGCCTGCTCTAATGTGGCTCTACAATTCTCAACAACTTCAGCCAGCATGGTCTACAGAGAATAATGCTAGTAGTTCACCAACATCCATAGTTGGCATAGATTCCCTACCCTGGTCACAAAATCTCATGGTTGGTCTTGTCCAAAGTTTACTCTCAGTAACTTTTCTATCATTACAGTTTTTACAGCTCCTTTTTCCTTCTGTGGTCAACTTGATAGAGATATTCTGATTCTATCAAATGGAACTTCTAAATGGATTTTGCTACAGTGATATTGTCTGAAAAAAGCCCTACATTGTTGAAGTCTAGTTGGAAAAGAAAATGTGTACTGGTTGCTGTGGACAGTGAAAGCAATCTTGTTTTGAAACTTGGCTGTGACCAGCATGCAAAATACTTGCTTTTTTCCATAAGAGGGTTCATGCCTCATTAACTTTGTAGACCTGAGCTATACCTTGATTTCACTGAAGCAGAGGAACTGGCTAAAACATGATGCTTAGAAGGGAAAGCTGTTGCCTGGATACTTTGGAGCTTAAATTTGAATAAGATGGAAGCAAAAAAGAAAAAAGGGCTGTATTATTTAGATATGTCAAAGTTTATCTGGCCTTTTATTGGCATCCAAATACTTGCAAGTTTTTTGTGTTGTTCAATCAGTGATAAAATTTCCTTATCTAACACTAGGATGGCACTTCGTGGCACCACAGTGCAAAAACCTTTGTTATCTGTGGTTCATGGTTTAGGAATCATGATTTAGACACTTGACAGGATGGAAGAATCTTTGATGGCTACAGTTTGGAATTATGAATGGAGATAAAAGAAAGGAAAAAAATAATACACCTTAGCACCATAAGTCTGATACTGTTGCCAAGACAAGGAAATTCATAAAACAATACATGAGTTTGTTATTGATATATATGTAAGTCCTGGGAATGAAACCAACATGATTGGAAATCTATGTCACGATGTTGTACATTGTACCTAACTGTACATTAGGTTCAATTCAACCATCTGCCATCTTTGAAAACAACAGAATGTTTGAGAGTTTTGAACTGGCCACAGGTTCAAACAGCTGTGATGTAGTCAGCTGTGTCCTTGGGGAAATTCTCATTTGCTTTCTTCAGTCACAGGTGCAGTTAAGGAGAATTTAAATAGCAAATAAGGTTTGCAGAAATGTGGGCCAGATTCAGTACAGAGAAATAACTCAAAAGCAAATCAAGAACTGAAGCATGTGTTGATGCTTTTCAAATGTACCTTGAAAAACAATTTTAGGGTGATGCAGAATCATGCCTAAAGAGCAGAGGTTTTTTGCAATATAATTAAAGTACATACTTCAAAATACCCTTTGTAGGAGAATCACCCTGGTTTAAATTGTGCCCATCATTAATCATTTAGAATTATATTATAAAGGTTAAAGATTTTTTTAAAAAATAATATAGGGTTACCTACTAATTATTTCAGAAATGGTATTACATTAGAAACCACCTCTTTCTAATTCTATTTATCAAAGAGACAAAGAACTACGTCAAAAATTCAGGAATGGTTATAAAACCAAATCAAATATCTTCATTGGAGTCTTTGATCTTTTACAATGAAAAGATCAAAGATTAAAAAAAAAGAAGTAACACAATCATTTGTTATTAAAGGAAAAAATAATAGGACAATAAAACATAATTAATTAAAGGCTTTGCACAGTTGGTGAAGATATTTGGCCGTGAGATGTGTGTGGGATTGTTATAAAACTGGTGTGGGGGTCTCAGGACTGAACCTATAAAAATTAGGCTACACTTCCTTGACCTTCAACATTTCTGATGTGTTGGGTGGTCCGGTGAATTAAATAAAGGTTTTAGAAGTTGCAGTTGCAGCATCACTAAACAGCAGCAGGTTAAGAAGAACTGGGTTAGCCATGAAAGCACCTTGGTTTTCCTTTGTCTTATCTGTTTTTCCAGATTAAGGTTTAAGGCATGGCTGTATCCCTTCAGACCTTGTTTTCTTTGCTGCTTCTGGGCCTGTTCAGCAATACTGGGAGAGCACAGCGCAACCCCGAGGTATTCTGTGGAGGTTAGTGTCTCAGCTGCGTATTTCCCTATGCACTCAAGTTTAATAATTTTGCACAAATAAGCCAATAACGTCTCACTTTGTCTGCTCCCTTAATACCAGAGCATTTTACGGAGACTGAAAGTCAGAGATGTATCCATGGTTCCACACCCTCCTTTCCTTATCATTACATTCCCCATCAAGACTAGAGGCAGCCTTCAATTTATGATCACAAATGGCACCAGAATTTCCATTGCTAAGCAAGGCAGTTGTTAAGTGAGCCATATCCAATTTTACAACCTTTTTTTTGCCATGATTGTTAAATGAATCATTGTGATTGTTAAGTGAACTATGAGTCATTAAATGGGTTTAGCTTTCCCCATTGACTGTGCTTGTCAGAAACCACCCGGGAAGGTTGCAGATGGTGATCACATGACATCGGGATGTTGCATCAGTTGTAAATTATGCTGCTTGCCAAGTGCCCAAATTTTGATCACAAGACTGTGGGAATGCTGCAACTGTCGTAAGTGCAAGCACTTTCCCCAGGCCATTGTGATTTCAAACGGTTGCTAAACGAATAGTTGTAATTTGCGAACTACTTGCACTCTTTTCCCTCTATTGTTTCCCTCTGTTTGAGTGATAAGAGTGTGCAGGAAATAACTCAGGAATGCAAACTAATCCATGTTTTCTGCAGCCTTGGATGCAAAGAATGCATCTATCTGATCATTTTGAGGACTGAATTATCCTTTGGGTTTAAGATCTTTTGCATCTGGAGAAGCTGGTGGAATTGTCTCCACTGTTCTCCCCCCCAAAGGGCCCTGCTTAAGGCTGCTACTTTGAGCCTTGCTTATGGCATCCACATCAATGCTCATTATGCTGATGACTAACAGCATATTGCCTTTCCCGTATCACACACTCTTCTGAATGAGGTTCTCAGTATATGCCTTTCTGGAGCCAGGCTGAAATAGCAGCAAAATAGCAATAAGATTTATAGCTGTTATATTATGCCAGTGGGTCACATCTTACTGGCCCTGCCTTACTTCAAATTGAGGGTGAAGAACTGTATGCTTGAATTGTCTGGTATTTACAAATAACACACCAAGGCAAAGTCTTCCTCGGATCCTTTTTATGAGCCCCATAAATCATCCAGCTATTCATTGCTCATCTACAATCTGAGATATAACTATCTTTGCTGATCTATCTTTATTGCTTGGGCCACATGACCATTTGGCCTTCTTTCTACAAGAAATTCACTTTGCTAATGACAGAATTATAACAGAACAACCCTACTCAATAAGTAAATATACAAGTAGTCCTTGGCTTTTGATCAGTCATTTAGCGACCATTCAAAGTTTTGACGGACCTCCATGAGAGTACTTATGTTCTGATGGCCTCTTCCCCGCAGCCACATGACTGCATTTCAGATGCTTGGCAATGGACTCACATTTACAATCATTTGCAGGATCCATTGCTGAGCGCCCATTGTACAACATTTTTGCTGAAAACCAGCACATTCAGTTTTTGGCCTATAACAAACAATTGATTTACTTAACAACCACAGTGTGGCTTAACAGCTGCCACAAGAAGGTCATAAAATTGTGTGGATGACTTGTTTTACGACCATCATGATATGGCTGATGGGCAGGGTCCATTACAGTCTTAAGTGGAGGACTTCCTATATCCCTGGTTTTATTTGTATCATTAAAGCTGTAATCCCTCCGTTCACCTAAGAACAATTTCAACCCAATGTGGTAAGATCACCTCTTGAGGAAAGATGCCTAGGAGAGAAAATAAACTTTTTCTTTACCTACAGGTAGTTTGATATATTAAAATTGCCTTAGAAGGGGAATTGACTGGCATTGTTCACTGTACATCACTCAGTACCTAGAGGCAAAGATTCAACCCATGCAGGAGCACCCACGTTGCTCTCTTCTCCTCCCCAGCAATTCCACCTGGCTGCAAACAACAAGGCTTTGTCATCCATTGACAGTTGTGCACACAAGGGGGAAAAATCTCCATCTGTGGTCTCCTAGCACGGAGATGAGTGGTTGGCTTTTTAAACAGATGGCACAATGAGCTGTAAGAAATGAACATCTCTCCAGAGATGGATAACCTGACAACAGTAGTTGCAACAACATATTGAAATAAATCCTCCCTGATGTATGCCAGGGCTGCAGAACCTTCAATACCAAGATCTCTTGACAAAAAGTCTGGTTTGGGTGATGCGGGCGTGGCAGTTTTGAGAGACAGACCACCTTGTGTTTCCTGGAAAGTAGCAGAAGGAGACAAGGTGGCCAAAGACAGATGTGCTTTGATTGAAAGAAGCCCACCCTGTGGCAGAGATGCCTTTTCCAGGCAGAAGGAGATCAGCTAAGACAGAAGAGTATTTTCTACTGTAGCAGAATGTAGTGTCTGCATTTTTTTTCTTATCCTAGGACAGTGGTGGCGAACCTATGGCACGGGTGCCAGAGGCGGTACTCAGAGCCCTCTGTGGGCATGCACGCCGTCGCCCCAGTCCTAGGCCTTCAGCTGGGTTTTATAAAACCTTTTCGCTTTAGGCCGCCGCCATCTGCAAAAAAAAAAAAAAGGTTCAATCAATCAGCCAATTTCAACTTCTCACGGGGGGGGGGGAAAGATCTGGCAAAGTTGGAATTGATTGATTGAACTTTTTAGTCCCACCCAGTCTGCCGTTACCACTGCAGCCATGCCCACCCAATGGGCCATACCCACCCAATGGGCCACACCCACCTGGCACCCGACGATGGATGTGGGTTTTGGGTTGTAGTTTGGGCACTCGATGTCTAAAAGTTTCGCCATCACTGTCCTAGGAAATCTCCTGATTCTGCTTCAAGTATGTCTCTGGGATAAATTCAGTACAGGTAGTATTTGACTTATGATCAGTCCCTTAGCAGGGACACTAGAAAGTTTGTTTGTTTGTTTTTAAATGAGGATAAATTTCCATGTCACAAGTCTTCAGGAATTTGGGAGGTACTATAATCCAGACTTTTCTAGTGGATGTCAAATTGTGGAAAGTTAAATCTCTGGACTGCTTTGCTGGAAATAGATAACATATGGACTTATGGTCTTTTTAGTCAAATAATATATTCTGTAATTTTTATAAGGGAAAGCTTAATTTTATATTAGTTATTTTGATCTGTCTTGGCATTTCAGGTGACTTGGGATTAGCCATCCATATTCAAAGCTTTTCATATTTTAGGGAAGGTTTTGGGCCGTTCTAAAGAAACAGAAGGCTCCATTTTGTATACCAATATTCCTTGACTTGCAACTAGTTGCTTAGCAAACATTCAAAATGATGGACCTCCACAGCATATTTATGACTTGGTTCTGAAATTCCAATGGCCAGACTTATAGCCATTTGCAGTGTTCCATGGTCACATGACCAGTGGAACCAGTGTTCCATGGTCACATGACTAGTTTTTGCTTAAAACTGGCATTTATTTCTGATTTTCAACAAAACCAGCCCTTAGTGAAGAATTAGTTCATTTAAGAACTGTGTTGTTGATTAACCCCCACAAAAAAATCATTAAATTGGATTGATCAAGTGGGTAACCTGCTTTACAACTGTCACAACTAATGATCATAATGGGTAGACTACATTGTGGTTGTAAATCAAACACTACCTGTAATCTTACTGTTCCCAATCTTGTTTTGTAACTCAGATCTTCATGCAATGAACTTGGTTTCCCATTGATTTAATGACAAGCTGCTGCTAGGAATAGATTATATATTTTCATTAGTTAAAAACATTTCAATAGAAAGCTCATTCTGGGCTGCTGACCTTAACATCAACGATGAAACATACAATATAGAAATGAGTAACCATGAGGTAAAGGAAGAGTGGCAAACTTTTGGAGGCCCTGGATTAATCTGGAATTTGTGAGAGTGATATAAATATTTATTTATTTATATCTCATATTTATTATTTTATAAATAACTCAAGGTAGAGATCGTATCTAATATTCCTTCCTTCTAGTATTTTGCCCACAATAACAACCTTGTGAGGTAGGTTAGCTGGAGAGAAAGTGATTAGCCAAAGTCACCCAGCTGGCTTTCATGCCTGAGGTGGGACTAGAACTCACCATCTCCTGGTTTGCAGCCTGGTGCCTTCATCACTAGACCAAACTTGCTCTAAATATTTGCAAAATGACTCATCTTTTTAAAAAAAAAAGATTATGCAGAGGGAACACTTAGCTGCTTACAAACTGGTTATCACAACTGTCAAAGCTCACTTATCATTGATCAGGTATGTTGTCTAAGACAACACAATTCAGTACAACCTGATCTGAGATTTGAATTAGGAAGGAGGTGTGAAAATCTACTGAATTTTCCATCCTTTGAATCGCTTCAGAACCATTTAAGGATTCAAGTTCAAATCATCACTGAGAATTATTCAAAGTTTTAAAGCAATCACATTTTGCTCAAATCAGTGCTCCAGATCAATACTTTGCTCAGACCAATTCTTTTCTACCACAACTTACTTTCATCTTTGGGGTGGGGGGCGGGGAGGAAGCAAGAAAGCATTCTTATGAATAGACTAGAGCTGAAGTGTTTTGTTTTTTTTCCCTAAGGATGATTGTTGGATCTCTGTGGGGCTTAAAAAATTTGCAGGAACAATTAACCTTTGAGGCTGGTGCCTAGCTAGGGATGATTATAACACAGTGCAATGGGAGGTCACCACCTTAGAGAAATTTATTCTCAGTACTCTCTGTTGGCATTTGTAGATAGGAAGACTGCAGTTAAATCCTGATAAACCCAGGTTCAATTTGACCCTTCAAATGCAGAGACCTGATTGAGTGACCTTCATCCAGGCATTCTCAAGTTGCCTAACAGAGATATTGTTGGGATAAAATTAAGAGATCTCTATTATTGATTTATGATCCCAATTATGATGCTCAGCAATGAGATCATTAAGAGAATTGCACTTGATTTTACAATCTTTTTGCCAAATCACGTGGTCATTATATGAATCTGGCTTATGATCACATGATCCCAGGATGCTGCAG